AGGTGGAGGCCAGGTGAATGAATGGTCCTTTTTTCTAAATATTCTCTACCTGAAAGAGCAACTGTGTCGCTCTTTCTCCTCCCCCGGTGTATTTTTCTTCATAGCACTATCACCACCTGTGTCATTCTTTGTGTATACAGGCATACTTTGGAGATGTTGCAGGTCTGTTTTAGACCACTGCAACAAACAGAATATCATAAAGCGAGTCACACGAATTTTTGGTTTCCCAGTGCATATAAAAGTTATGCTTACATTATACTGTAGTCTGTCATAAAGTGTTCAATAGCATAATGTCTAAAAAGTACATACCTTAATTTTAAAATATTGCTAAAAAATGCTAACCATCGTCTAACAACGCAGCGTTGTCACAAACCTTCAATTTGTAAAAAAAATGCAATATCTGCAAAACACAATAAAGTGAAGTGCAATAAACAAGGTCTGCCTGTGTAGCCTTGTTTGTACCAGACAGAGCCCAGGAATGGGTTGGTGTGTTTTATTGATCTCACAGAGGATTTAAGCCCATTTTGAATCTACATTCCAAATTGGGAGTTTTCACCTAAACACCCAGAAGTCTGGCTTCTGGGGAGCAATCAGACTGACTGGCAGCCCAGGGCCTGCATCCCCCACGACTCCCTCTGGCCCCGACACTGAGGCTTTGCATCTGCTCCATCCATCAAGCCCGCGCTGCTGTGTTTCTTGTCCAGAGACGTTCACCACACTCATGTGGCTCTCACATGGTGCCACAGAAGAAAGACCAAGAGGGACACATGTTTGAAGAAAAATGGGAGCGCACACGTGTCTTTATGGAAAGCAAGAATATTCCCGAATGTCTGGTGTGCCAAGTGTGTCTGTGTCAAAAGTTCAGTCTTGCCTTCCCTCCCTGGCCCTTGTGGGTGTTTGAACAGGTGACCCCAGGTCTGGAGTGGGTGGTGGTCTGAGGAGAATCTTTTGCATTCCAGGGACTGGTGTGTGTGGATCTGGCTGTGTGCTATGGACTGAATTGCCTCCCTCACTATAGCAAACTCATTTGCTGAAGCCCTAACCCCCAGAATGACTATATCTGGAGACAGAGTTTAAGGAGGTAATTCAGGTTAAAGGAATAGAGACATCGCTTGCTCTTTCCACCAAGTGAGGACACAGAGAAGGCACCATCCACAAGCCAGGAAGAGAGTCTTCACCAGCACCCGAATCTGCTGGCACCTTAGTCTTGAACTTCCTGCCTCCAGAACTGTGAGAAATAAACGTCTGTTGGTTAAGCCCCCAGTCTGTGGTAGCCCGAGCAGACTATGACCCTGTGTTTTTCCCAGGAGAAGTGTGTGCACCTTCACCCCATTCCGAGCCTCATCTGGGCCGACTGCAAGCAGGAGAGCTTAGCAGATGTCATCCCCACTGGTGAGGATTTCCGAGCATGCCTGATGGCCCTTCCTCCTCCATACCGCAGCCCTCCTCTGTGATGCCTTCATTCTGGGAGCAGCTCTCCCTCAAAGGAATCCTCATGCTTTGCACGCCTGTTCTTACCCACCTGCTTCTCACTTGACTTACTGGCTGCAGGGAAAAGACAGATAGTTTCCAACGCTGAGTGGACTGAGGTGTGCACGGTTGACCTCTCCTGCCTCCCTGTTCATCGGTGTATCTTCTCGTCTGTCTAAAATGTCATAATGGACCCCAAACAGCCAGACTCCCAGGAGAGATTTCACAGCATTGCCCTGCAAGCACTCTTATCCCTCATCCTTTCTGTTAATGGATATAATAACAAAGAACTATTGTCCACCGAGTGCGCCTGTGTTTCGCCCTAAAGCAGAGTATTTTAACGTGCTGTGTCATTTAATTCTAGTGAGTGTCTGAAGAACAAATCCCACCCACTTATTTATTCAATCATTCGGCAAATATTTACTGAGCGTCTATTATGTGCCAAGAAGATCTGCCTGGTGTGTCAGAAGACCACAGGGGCCCTAGTTGGTCACCTCAAAAGAGAATCTTGGGACAGAACTGGAGTCTTCTGAGAAACAGGATATTTACTCCTAGGCAGGGTTCTGATTAAATTACCTGGCTGCTCTTCAAGTTCGCTGTCAGAGCAGCGATCTGCACAGCAGGCTCTTCAGCAGACTTTCCCAAGTTTGCCTCGGCTCTTCCACTTTCCTAGCTATGTGACCTTGGGCAGGGCGCTGCACCTCTCTGAGCCTCAGTTTACTCATCTAAATTGAAGGTCACCATGATACAAGAGTCACTGAGGATTTAAGTAGCACAGTCAAAACACAAGATCCGTGGACTTAGGAAGTGCTTTAAAAACATGAGCCTTTATCATTAGCTCAGAGAGGACTTAGAGAAAGTGTTAAAAAACAAAAAACAAAAACAAAAAAACCACCCATTACATATCAGTTTTTGAAAACTGTAGCTCTCTCATGCCTCTCCTAGATAATTTAGCTAAACTATTTGACTTGCACTGAATTGTTGGTTCTCAGTCATTTGGACTTTGGGGAATTGCTACCAAACATGACTCAAACCTTCAAAGTCCTTGATCACAAAGCATCTTTTCCCAGCCATAATTAAGTCATAAGAGCAAGCCTGAGCTGAACCAATGCCCAGTATGTGGTTGTGGATTATGAACCTTACGAGCCATCAGTCTGAAGATGATCATCCTCTCTGGCTTCAGAGGAGGATATATGCGTGCCTCCCAGTTTGCCAACTTGCATGAGTGTGAGGCTGCCGTTTTAACTCAAACTGTGTTGTAAACAACATAAACACGATGAGAACAAGCTACACATATAAACATAAATAGCCATATATAATTATAGATATACTTATAATAATTATACATAATTTTCATTCAAACTGTAAATGATGCTTGGGGCCTGAATGGTTTGTGGACCTCTTACAGGAACTCCATGGCCCTGAGCAGCCAAGATCCACAGGTTGAAGCCTGCAGACTCCATCCCAGTGTGGTTGCCAATCACGAACTGATGTTCATGGAGCGTCTATTAAGTGCTGGACATCGTCATCCATCCTTTACAAACACAGTCTCCTCAAATCTTGCCTGTCAGCTCTCAGAAATTGGAGCTATGAAAATCCCCATTTTACAGATGAGGCAAAGGTAAGGCTTATCCAGTGAATAAGTGGCCGAGGTAGGATTCAAAACGCTGGTTTGGGAGTCCATCAGTGTAGGCCCAAATTCATCCTGGTTTACTTTGGTTATGGACTCAATATTCGTGTCTCCCTTGAAAGAGAATTAAGACAGAAATCCTGGGCAAAGTAGAAATTTATCCTTTAAATCTCTGTTGGTTGTAGTCAACAAAAACTTCCCAGAGAGGAGAGGGCCAGAACCACATTAGTCAGGCCTTGGTCATTACACAGACTTGCTAACTTGTGTACATCTGGCTCCAAAGAGATGAAGAGACAGAAATCCAGGGCCCCACGACTAACCAAGAGGCAGTTAGAAACAGGAAGATGTGGGGCAGCTTTGAAAATGCTGGTGTCCTGGCACCTGTCTGTTCCTCCAGATGGAGCCCAGGGTGTCCTGCAACCAGACTGTTGTTCAGTTCTATAGAGCCTGCTGATTCTCCCTCAGATTCTCCATTGCCCTCTCTGTTTTCCTCCTTTTTCCTCTGCCACTTTGGTCTATGCTCTCTTCCTCCCCTGCCACATACCCACCTGTGATGTGTTCAAATTAGCCCTTTCCACATCCTCCCCCTGAAGCCAGTGGAATGGCAGGCCTTTCGTGCTGGGCTTGAGCGCCAGTGCTCTGAACAGCTCCACACTTAGTCTTGGTTCCCTCTAAGATCCCAGCTTCCCTGCCCAGCAGCCTCATGTTGTAAGGAGAAAAGGAGGCATATGTGGTCCTGCCTTCCCTCAAGCCCCACCATAAGACTATCCTGAAATCTGGCATCTGCCCTTAAAGATGCCTCCCACTAGGAAGGGGTGGTCTCCAGATATCAGTGGAAGGCAGCCCAGTGTCCTGTTCTGCCTGTGTGCTCACAAGAAAACCTGGATATTGGATGCAGGGGAAATAATGGAATGTTAGAGAGGATGGAGACTAGCGTTGGAAGAAAAGAAAGAAGACAGTGGGAGGGTTGGGCAAAGCGCTAGCCTGGGGATGCCAGGGCTGAAGGGCTCAGGGATGGCCTGGCTGTTATGTCAGTGATGAAGTCTATGGAGCTCTCACCACTCAGCTCCAGCACACGACCCTCACTATGACCCTCCCGGCTCCCTCCCCCAGGCTCCACAGGGACACCAAGGACCGACTGTCCAGTTCACCTCCTGTTCTTCACTGGGCCTGCTTGGCACAAAGCAGAGCCTAATAAATACATATTTGTTGATCAAGTTAACACATGAAAGAAATAAGCAATCGATAACCAAGTTGCACCAAGCAAAGTAACTTTGTGGGTCTTCATTTTCCAGTCTCTAAAATCAAGGAGTTGGGCTAAGACACCTGGGTTCCAATGGCACCCTAGCTGTGCACTTACTGGGTGTGAGTGACCTTGGGCAAGTTATTGAACCTTTCTGTGCCTCAGTTTCTTCATCTGTAAAATGGAGAGAATAGTACCTCCCTCCTAGGGTTGTTTCAAAGATGAACTGATTTAATAATTGCAAAGCACATACGTAGTACTATGTAAGTAAAAAAGTTCAGGGTCCCCTCCACCGGGACTTTCTCAAGCCGGGGAGGGAGAATGGAAGGGAAGCAGAGAACATGTCCCAAAAGCTGGGGACCCTCTGAGCGCTCGCGCATGCTCACTGAATGTGCGGGGTACCATTGCCGCCTACAAAGCTTCCCAGCACCCACCTACCCCGGGCAGCGGCTCAGCAAGGGGGAGAACTACGTTACCCACAACGCATCTCGTGGGTCAGCTACGTACCTCGTTTTTAAGACTGACAGTCAGTTCAACCAATCGTACGAGGACTATGCTACCCATAGGGCCTCCCGTGGACCCGCCTCCAAGGCGCCTTCCCATTCGCCGCAGCTGACTCAAAGGTGCGAGGACTACATTACCCACAATGCTTGCGTTGGGACGCCCACGCGGCCTGGTTCTCAAGCTTCAGGGCGGTTCAGCCAGTGGCCCCGGCGACCGTCCTGGGTCTCTGTTCTGCGGGTTGTGATCCTCGTTTGTGGCCCGCCAAGCCCACCTCGTCTGCTGTTACGCTCTCGTCCTGGCCTGCCGCCTCGGGCGCGCCCTGAGCCCCCAAGGGTCGCAGCGCTGCGGGTGAGTGCGGGGGCGGGCGCGGGGTCCCGGCTCGAGCTTACATCCCATTGCCCGCGCCAAAGCCCGGTTTATGCTCGGCCTGGGTCACTGCTCACTCTTCACAGAGAAGAGACCAGACGGAAAAGCAGCCCGGCCAGGGAGTCCTAACCTTCCCAAGACCTTGGAGTTGGAGGATCTTTATTGACCATTCAGTGGGGTTCGGAGGGGCTTCAGGCTCGCCGAGCCTACAATCAGGGGTCAGACTGGGACAGAATCTGCGTCCTTCTGGGCAAAAGGGGCCCTTGTTCTCACCATATTTCCACAGGGACCTTGTCCAAAAATGTTTGTTATTGAAAACTCAGCATTTCTCCAACTCTGACCGTGTTCCAGGCACTGTGCTAAACAAGCTCTTTCCGAAAATCCCATTTAGTCCTTTCAGCAGCCTATGTGTAGGTGGTGTTACCATCTCTTCTTTTCAGATAAGAAACTGAGAGCCGGAGAGATTGATTACCTTTCCTGAGAATTAAGGAGTTAGTAGCAAGGTTGACCCACTTTAATCCTTTCCTTTTGCCAACGAGGGCAAGTTGGCCTTGGGGCCAGGGCAGGGGCTTGTGGGTATAGATGCTTATCCAGCCCCATTGCTTCACCCCAGATGAATTTGTTGTCTCTCCACAGAGCCCTGGAAACATCTCTCCCAGTGTCTGGCCAGAGGTATAGGGAGAGACAGGTTTAATTCCCAGGCCAGAGAAGGAGCAAGGCCCAGCAGGAGCAATGGCGACCTCTCCCGGCCTCCAGCACCCGCCACCCCTGGAGCAGGACGAGATCCTGATTGTGAAGGTGGAGGAGGACTACTGCTGGGAAGAGGAGCCCTCCCTGGAGACAGAAGACCCTAGCCCCGAGACCTTCCGCCAGCTTTTCCGGCTTTTCTGCTACCAGGAGGTGGCGGGACCTCGGGAGGCCCTGAGCCGCCTCTGGGAGCTCTGCTGCCTTTGGCTGCGGCCTGAGCTGCGCACCAAGGAGCAGATCCTGGAGCTGCTGGTGCTGGAGCAGTTCCTGACGGTGCTGCCAGGGGAGATCCAGGCCCGGGTGCGGGAGCAGCAGCCAGAGAGCGGTGAGGAGGCCGTGGTCCTCGTGGAAGGGCTGCAGCGGGAGCCCAGGAAACAAAGGCAGCGGGTGAGGTGGGGGGCATTTTGGCCCTGAGGTGAGGAAATGGGGCCCTGCTGCTGAGGTCCGCATTTGTATATTCCTTGGGTTCTGGAGTCATGGCCAGCCTTGGTTATTGGATGGATCTGGGGCTGCCCAGGCACTGCAAATTGAACAAGGCAACTGCAGAGTGTTTTCAACCTTGGCCAGTGGGTGTCCATCTGTTGATTAATTACTGTAGCCTCACTAGCCCTTTCTGAGCTCTGTGTATTGGTTCATTAACACGATCCCAACACAGCCAGCCATAAGATTTGATGGGAGACTGGACACCTTCCAAGGCAGGCCTTGGGAGTTGAAGAGATCCCCACGGAGGGAGGATCAGTGGGAAGAAAGACCAGGGGCTAGTGGGTGCCCTGGTTAGAGTCCCCAGATGTTTCCCAGTCTCTCCAGAGCTGTGTCATGCAATACAGTAGCTACCAGCCATGTATGGCTTTTTAAATTAAAATTAAATACAATTAAAAATATAATTTGTATATTGAACTGACTACATTCTAAGGGCTCAGTCATCACACATGCTTAATGGCTACTGTGCTGGACAAGGACAGGGCAGATAAGGGGCACTTCCACCACTCTAGAGCATGCTCCAACTTCTTCTAGTCACATTTGGGGAGTGGGAAGTCTCTTACAAATTTCTTCTGCTTGGGTTAGAGTAATTCCTCCTAATTAGATACTTGGCAAATCCTGCAAGTGGCCACACACTGCTGTCTTTTTGCATCTGTGGCCACACACTGCTGTCTTTTTGCATGTGGCAGGACAGACAGAGCCCCCTACACCCCCCTCCCAAAACTGGACCACAAGGTGAGTTGAGTGCAATAAGCAAATCCTGCTGTCATGGTGGCCAGCAAGAACCTGGGAGCTCTGCTCAGCCCCTCCAGCCTTGGCATTTGGGGTTCCTGACATGACTTCCCTCTGTCACTGTGCACCCCATAACCTCTGGGGACTGTCTCCTCTCAGAGATGTAGAACATTGAGCCTGAGATAGGGTCCCTGGCCTTCACCTTATGGCTCCCTGGGGATGTGTCTTGTACAAAGAACTATTGCAGAGCTCAGTAAATTCAGATCCAAGCACATCTCGTTTACCTTCTCTGGAATTAGGAAACAGATAACTCCAGAGGGCCTGTAGACAATTTCAGAAAACGTAGTAAGTACAATAACTTGAATTTCCAAAACAAGACCTGATTTGGGACCCTTCTGGCTCAGGTCTTTTGGGAGCACCAAGGAAGGAAGGGTGAGAGTATGACACTGACACTGAAAGAGAATGACGGGGAGAGACTGCAGAGAGACTGCCAAGTCTCGGGAGTGGAGCAGGCCTCCTTTCCCCCAGGTTGGAAGCCTGACCCTTTCCCAGCTCACATGCCTTCTCCCTGGAGGCTGGCTGGATGGAGACGTACGGAGGGCTGCAGGGGCCATTAAACACGACGAGGCAGCCCAGGTGGTAAGGGACAGCCTGGGAACAGGATGGCCTGGGTGCTTGAGACAGGAGGGACTGGGAACCCTGTGGGCTTCCTCCCTTCCTGGGAGCTGGTGGGCAGATCTGTGTCTGTGTGCAGGATCTGGAGGTGCTCCCTGATGATATACTGCCCCATGGGACAGGGGAGTGGTTCTTGAAATGCCAGGCGGAGGCCCAGCCAGAGGAGCTGTCCCTGGAGAAAGGGGCTCAGTACTCCAACCAGCAGCTCCCAGCACAGCTGAGCCATGGACCAAAAAGAGGCCCCCAGCTCTGGCCAAATAGGGGTGAGTAGTCACCCATCTCGAGGAAAGAGAAGCCCTGCACTGGGGGAGGGGAAGGCTCGGGAGTTTGGCAGAGGGTCTGGCCTGCATGCCTATGGGGGTGGGCAGGCTCCCGGTGGGGCTGGGTGTAGGTGGAGAGCAGCTGGACCTGTCCAGCCCTCACTGTCATGCGCATGGGTGGGCAACTCTGCTCTTTCCCCAGGCCCAGTGACCTCCCGGCATCAGGAGACAGCGGCACTGGCCACGTCTTTCCTCTCAGCCTGGTCCCAGGTGAGCGGGCATTCTGACCTGCAGCATCCTCGTGCATCCCACGCCCTTGGTACAAGGACACTTATATTTAGTGGCCTGGGTTTCCAAGGCAGACCTTCACCTCCTCGGAAGTCTCACTTTCTCTCAGAAGCCACCTGAGTATTAGGTGTACTCTGGAGGATTCTGGGGTCCCAACAGTGAGCTAGGGCAGTCACTTCAAACCCAGATGTATGTTAGAATCTCCTGGTATCTGGGTTAAACTAGATTTTTCCAGCAGCCCTAGCCTGGAATCAGCCTCCTTTGCTTGTTTATTTCAATGATAGCTTTATTGAGGTATAATTCACATACCATACAGTTCATCCATTTAAAGTGTACAGCGTTTAGTCTGGTTACAGAGTTCTGCGGTAATCAGTATAGTCAATTTTAGAACATTTTCATCACGTCACCAAAATACCCCATGCCTGTTAGCAGTCACTCCCCATTCCCCCTGCTCGGTCCCCTGGCACCCACCGTCTCTGTGGATTTGCCTCTTCTTAATGCTGTTTGCTTGGGTGTTAATCGTGCTCCCAGACCAGTCTGGTGCTAGATTTGGGAACCTCTGGCCTAGAGGCATCACGAAGTGCACATGTCACCCCATTTGGGTCCCAAGGTTGGCTTGAGCTGAGGCAGGGCCTGCTAACTTATATCCCCAAGGAGCATGGGCCCCAGTGGCTGAGATCACAGTGGATCCAGCTGCTCATGCAGCACATCTGTCCACACGACCCCTGCCCTGTAGCAGTGCGTCAGAGCTTGGTGGCCACAGTGTCCTCCTGAAGAGCAGGATCCAGCCATGTCCGAGCTGAGCTTGGGAGGAGGGGGTGGGGTAACAGCACATGGAAAGGAGAGGGTGGTTAGGGAAAGATGTTGGGTGAGGTAAGGAGGACCTGCCATGACACAAGTGGAGGGGCCCAGGGAGCCCACCAGTCTGGCCCAGCCTGAAGGGGCAGTGGCATGAGACTGGGCAGTGTTCCAGCAGGTGCCGGTGACCGTGGAGGACATGGCCGTGTACCTGTCCCAGGAGGAGTCGGGGTGCCTGGACCTGACTCAGCAGGACTACAGCTGCAGCGTGCTGCCAGAGTGTGAGGGTAATGTGCGGGGAGACCATCGTCACACACCGTGCTGTGTCTCTGGCGTGGGCCTGGTTCAGGGAGGGGGGCTGCTTCCCTCGGGCTGGCTGTGGGTGTTTGTTGGTCTTTAGGATTCGAGGCCCAGGCCATCTCCCTGCTCAGCACCTTCCCCCACCTACAGGAGCTGGTTCTCAAACTTTAGTGGCCTGAGGAATCACCTGGGAGCATGTTAAAAATAGGAATTCATGGGCCCTGCACCCAGGGGATGGTTCAGTGGGCTTGGGGTGTTCCCTGGCAGGTCTTCTAGGCAGCCTGCTCGGCCACTAGGCCCCCCTGTCTGCCCATGGCCTTGCCTCATCCTGTCCCTTCTCAGCTCATCCTATCACTCTTGACCCCCATTCACTCCCCAAAACATTTTCTGAAGGAATCGAGACCCTGCTTTGTATCAGTTGGGGTTTTCCAGAGAAACAGAACCAGTTGTGTGTGTGAAGAGAGGTTTATTTTGAGGAATTGGCTCTCATGATTGTGGAGGCTGGCACTTCTGAAATCCATATGGGAAGCCAGGTGGCAGGATTTCTAGGCTGCCATCTCGAGGCAGAATTCCTTCTCCAGGAAACCAAGTTTCACTCTTAAGACCTTCAACTGATTTGGTGAGGCCCACCCCGATATGGAGGGTAGTTTGCTCTACTTACAGTCAGCTAATTCTAGATGTTAATCGCATCTGCAAGATAACCTGCACAGCAGCCTCTAGAGTGGTGGCTGACCAATGACACCATAGCTTGGCCAAGTTGGCTCAGAAAATTAACCATCACACACTTTCCTTTACACCCTCATTTTTTTCAAACTAAAATGGGATGAATGAAGATGAAACCTTCTTACTGCCTCAAATACTGGTTTGCTATCCTCACTGTTGCTGGACCTCTGGGGCCTTCTGTCTGTCGCCTCCTGTGTGTTGTAACTCTTGGCCACTTAATCTCTTTGGTGATGAAACTCTAGACCCCTCAGGGCATTGGGATTTCCCTCCCAGAACCAGGGAGAGCCTTGGGCCCTGTTTCCTCACTTTTTCTCCCTCAGAGGGAACAGAGTCTGCACAGAAGCAGAGCGTCTTCCACCTCTTTTTCGGGGCATCGAGCTTTCCCATGGGTCCTCCTGATGCCCCTTTTCCCTCATGAGAGGACTTTTGCAGTCTGCATTCTGTCCCAGCCACACTCACGTTCTCTCTCCTCTTTTCCCGTGAGCAGGACTCCTCGCTCCCAGGCCCTGTTTGATTGCCCAGCAAGGGCGAGGGGAAGGCCAGCGGGACCCGGCTCGTGCAGCCCTGGGGCCGAGGGGAGTCTCAGGCAGCACCGGCTCAGGTGAGGGGGTCTGCAAGGAGGAGGCGGAAGTCCAGGTTAGACTCTCCCTCTCCTGAGTTTAGATTTCACTGATTGTGTTCATGGAGTTCAAGCTCGAGGGCAAGGGCCAGCAGACTTTCTCTGAAGGGGCCAGGTAGTGTAAGTAGTTCAGGAGTTACGGGCCATGTCGTCTCTGTCTAGACTCCTCAGCTCTTCCATCCTGGCATGAAAGCGACGCGGACGATACGAACATACTCACATGGGGCATATTAGGTGGGTGTGGGCATGAACTTTCGTTTATAAAGGCTAGTCACGCCTGAAGAAAAGGCGAGGGGAGATGGGAGACTTTAAGAAAGGCTTGGGGCTCCGCCAGAAAGCCCTCAGTATAGAAAGCAAGAGTCGCTCCATATCGGGCTGGGACGGTACCCTGCATGCAGGCACAACAGGGGACCTAGTCCCGAAGGAAGGCTGCGAGGGAAGCCCAGGCCAGGTAGGGGCCGAGGCTGATGCCCCCAAGGGTTGCCCAGCCAGCAGCGCTCACTCTCCTGGGTCTCCACGGAGTTGGGAGGGGTGTGGAGTCGCTCAGTCCTTCTGAGGAACTGCCATACTCAGACTTCCTTTTTAAAACT